CGGAGGTTAACGCGGATCGGCGGACAAGGTCGAGGATCGATCTCGTCCGGGGGGATAAACGGGGCAAATAGAAGCGGATAGATAAATTGACAGGGTGAGGGGGGTGTTGGCCGTAGTTGGAAAGTGAGAAATTCTCGCGGGTCGATGACACCAACTTCCCTCCGCGCCTCTTAACCGCGTCTCCGCCGAAACTTTTCAATAAAGCTGGCCTCGCTTTCCATACGTTCCGCCAAACTTTCGAAGGCACTATCGTTTCTACGCAACATTTGCTGGATTTCCCTCAGAACGTCGCGGATTATCATTCTTGATCTTCTTTCTTTCGGCCTTCGAAACTTTCTTCTTTGGGAGGGGATCTTCTTATTCCATCCAGCTGAGAATCCCTTTGGGATAAAATTGATTTGTCCACAAACCAGAGAAAAATGTAATTGCGTCTCGTTTATTATAACTCTAACTTGGGACTAGATTTCTAGACTTGTTCTTCGACGATTTCTTCGATTCACTTTTTTAATTCCTTAATCGATTCGATTATTTATTCTCTAACAAGGAGAGGCTATTTGAAGATCATCTTGCAAATCCTTCAAAATTATTTGAGCTCTTTTCGCTTTCATGACGATGATTTTAAATTTACGTACAGGAGAGTGAGAATCAACGCAACAAGATCGATATAAAATTATTACGCCAAGCTTGCTTTCAAAGAACCCAGAAAGATCGTATATCTGAATTAAAATGGCCAACTTCGGAGAGAATCGCGGAAATTTTTCAAAGTATATCGCCATAATTGTAAGAAGCGTAAAGCAGGTCGTCCAACTTTTCCGCAACGACCGTGACTTTTTTTCCGCATTCACGGACGTACCACAAGATAAATAATATCTTCCCCGGCCATCGTGAAATACGCGTAACGATCCCTCTCTCTCTCTCTCTCTCTCTCTCTTACTCTTTCCCTCTCTGGTTCCAGTTCCGTTCCGTATTCTCCACGAGGTATGGCGCGATACCGTCTGCCAAGCGGTCTCTCTACCTCTCTAACTGGCTACGCCGCTAATTGCCGTCCGTATAATTACCATATCGGACAGATAAATATAGGGCTGCCTCTGGTACACGTTCTAGCCTCGGAGACAGTCGGCGACGTTTACGTCTCCGCTCTGTATTAAGGTCCACGGGCGTGCGCCACGGAGATATACACGGAGAGAGGGGAAACCAAGCGGGGTGATGGCCGAGACGTTTGTAATTCTACGAATTTTTCCTCCACAACTTTTATTCCCCGGTACAGAGATATATATATATAAATATATATAAAGTTGTCGAGGTGGCGGACAACTCAAAGGTGGGTCGAAACGTGAGGTTTCAATGGGCGTTAAAATGGCGAAACGAGAGAGAGAAAAAGGTAGGAGAGAATCGCTTCGAATGTTTGTATTCGCGTACGCCTCTCTCGGATACTTTTAATAACTTTAATCCGTGGACGTGGTTTAACCGCGAGACGATTTGCCCTCGTACGAAGGTTTAATGGCACCCTTTTACGACCGACCTTCTTCCTCCTCCCCTTTTTTTCCCGTTCGCAAATACGAACGATAAATAGCCACGGTGACAGGATACAATTAAAAGAAGCTATTCCGACGAGTCCTTTGTCAGGATTAAGCCTGGAAACCCTCTCTCTCTCTCTCTCTCTCTATGTTCATTCCACATCCTTCGTGTCTCGCATGCTCGCCCCGCGATAATAGAACGCGTCTCATCGAGAGGAGGATCTCTTCGATCCTCCTCTACGCGAATGAAAACTCTTCCCAGGCGAATCCATTATTACAAAAATAACCTTTATCTCTTCCGCGCTCCGACAATGGATTATACTTTCGAGGACGGGTCCGTGTGTAATAATCCTCTTCGTAGAGAAGACGTCGTCGTATCGCGAATCGTCGTACCGTGGCCAGAGAGGCATCCACGATACGACACTTCCTTCCTTCCTTCCTTCCTTCCTTTCTTCCCCCGTGAAAGGAAACGAAAGGGAAGATAAAAGAGAGACATAAAAATATTTGCCATACGCGTTCGCGTAGGAGGGACGATTGAGGGGGAACAAAGTTGTAACCATCACCCTAATTTTCCCGGGAGCGATGTTTAATGCGTTTTCCCTCCGTTTCGTTCCATTTTCAGCCGGGACACCAGAGGGAAAATTATCGTGGCGCCGACGCTCGAAGCGAAAACCAGACCTCCAACCCCCTCTTTTCTTCCGACGCGGGAAACTTTCTCTTCCGACCGGACGGGAGGCAACTAATCGCGCGCCACGACCGCGGTGATGGCTAATTAGCGTTCCCGGAAATGAGTCGTGCCACCGGGAATTAATATCTCCAGCTCTCGCTCCCTCGCAGCGGGATCTCGCGGCGAATTTCTCGAGGCGTTAAAAACCCCTTCAATCCGACGAATTGACAAAATTACGATGCCCGGTGTTTTTCATTCGAATCTCGAGAAAAAGTATCCCCCTTAAACTAATATGAGCGAATTCTTTTGTTAAAAGTCTTGGCTACTTCGTTACAGAATTCGTTCGTGCAATAAGATCCATCCAAAGGAAATTTTGCCACAGACGATGTGTATAAAACGAAATTAAAAAATCAAAAAGTCAGGAAAAAAGTTCACGGTTAAAAAGAAAAAAAAACTAGGAGAACGTTAATTATCGCGTAATGTGGATATCATCGCGTAATTTTACTTGAAAGGATATTTCGAAATTAGCAGGGAGGGAGGGAGGGGGCGAAAGTGTTAAAATTGGAAACGGGGGTGTAATACAATGATCGAAGGAACCGCTGAATAACAGAGTCGGTTCGAAATTAAGGGGTCGGACTTATTAACGGGACACCGAAATAATTAAATTTCGACGGCCGACCCCGATATTACGAGCAATGACCGTCGAAGCAACGAGGCCTCGTCATTGTCTGGCTAGTTTAACGTCGCTATAACAGCAACATCCCTCCCCTTGCACGGACAGGGGAGGAAGGGGTCGCGCGGCCGAAACACAACGGGGCTTTAGAGCGGAGGGGTTGTTACTCGTAAATCGCACCCTATCTGAACCGACGTCACTGCGGATATGGCAAATGTCGGGCGTAACGACGCGGCTCTATTGTCAAAAAGTGAAAATTCAAATAAAACGGGACAAGCGAAACGCATCGGTGGCGCCAGTCGGGCTGCAAGCGAAACGTGGCCATTTTTGATCACGCGTTGCATATCTCCTAGATGCGGAAAGTGAGAGGCGAGTTAATTGCTCGAGCTCGTTAATGTAACGTAATATCGGGTATAGGCTATAGCCATAAGTTTAGCTCGCGATCACGTCCACCAACGCAGTGAGATGGAATCGTGTTCTTTCGCTAATTACCTCCGCGATTATCCTCTTAATCGTCGGCTCGATTATAGCTGCATCGACCTCGTGTGTGGAATCCTTCGTCAAAGCGCCAAAACGTATGCTAGATCTAGATTCCAATCCAATTTTTAATATATATTTTTTCCACGAATTCTTCACTCTTTCTTTTAAGAATGATTGTAAAGGTAAAGGTTATCTTAATCCCCTCAAAAAAATCTAATTTTCTCTCTCTCTCTCCTCTTTTTTTAACGAATATATTAAAGAATAATATATAATTCGAAAGAGTTATTAAAAAAAGAAAAGCTCACAATTTTCACAATTTCCAAAGCGCAAACCATCGTCATCCTTTTTCTCATCTCGATTCCTTCATTTTTGGACTCGTGCCAGAATCGTGCCCTCTCTTCTCCTTATTGCGTTTCACTTCGTAGACTTTTCGGCTCCGCGGTGGCTGCGGAGAAATTTCAGTTTATGCAAGCTTTCGACGCGAGTGCAGTCGGTGGTGGATTGTCCGCTGCTCAGAGGAGGGGATAGTTTCCGCGAGCGAGAAACGGGGCAACGAGACGATCTGTCGAAGTTGAAACACACAAGCTTCTTTGAATTGCATAATAACGGCGGGTCGCCGTCAGGGCTGATGCTAATGGCAGCGAAACTTTCCGAGCGAACTCGGAAACGCGCGCGTGGAAACTATCGCTCTCTCTCCTGTCTGCACCCCTTTTGCCGAGAAAAAGTCTCGGTATTCGATAGTAGGGAATAAGGGGCCGTGCATTAATTGCATCTAAGGCAATCGTTTTACCCCTGCTAGTTTTTCACCCTTCCATAGATCACCATAGATTGCTCCGTTTACTACTCCACAGACTTGTTTGCCCTCGTTGAAACGCATGTAGATTACCTTTTGTCGAAGAAGCCTTTGTCGATCCGAAACGATCGATCGATCGATCGATCCGTTTCGGTGACGGTTCTCCCTTTTGTCGCGATAAAGAGGAATTGTATCTATTTCTTTCTGTAAAAAAAAAAAAAAAGAAATGCATTCAAAGCGATATTTGAACGTCGAGATGTCGAGATCAAACGATACTTAATAATGTCGAATCCTTTCCGAATTGCAATTTCCTTTGATGATATCGAAATGGATTTTTCTTATCTTCTCCTGTGTGTACAAAGAAAATTGGAAAAATTGATTCGCAATCCCTGTCATATTGTCTTCGAAACTTTTGATTTTTTCAAGATAAAGAAGAATGATCCTTTCGGTTATATAGGGGTTCGTAAAAATTGATCAATGAAAACAATTAAAATTCTATTATTTCACGTGTATTCTCTAACTCGATTTATCGACGATTCTAATTCTTTAAATATTCCATTTAATTTTTATCGAATTGGAGCCGATATCCTCGAAACAATAATCTCTTCCTCCCCCCTCCCCCGTTTTCTTTTCTCACTGATTACGCAAAATGACAGGCCATCGCTCACCCGAAAGAGCGTTCCGCGAAACCTTTATTTCCGCCTGGCTCCCTAATGGAGCCTCGCTTCTTTTCTCCCTTCCACGTTGAAACTCTACCGCGGGATTGCCGGAGTGTTTTATTGTCCGCGTTCCGTTTAAGCGAGCACAACGATCTCGTGTTTCGTGGCTTCTCCCCCACTGACCATTCTCCACTTTCTTTTCTTCTTCCAGGGATCTGAGACCGGCGAGCTTGGAGAAAGGCCAAGAGACCCTTCGACTACGAGTGTACGCCTGCTACGCGTGGGGTGGCCCCCTTCTGGTCGCCGGTTTGGCCGCCCTTCTCGATCATCTTCCGCCCCAACCTCAGTACACGTTCCTCAGGCCCCGTTTCGGCGTGAAACAGTGCTGGTTCTATGGTAAGTTCATATTTCTTTCTTCTTTTAATAATAATAAGAATAATAATAATAATAATAATAATAATAATTCTTGCGGAGAGGATCTCTCGGATTTTCTTCTTTGTCGGAGGAGAAGATTTCCTCTTTGTGAAACACTCTTGTGTAAATTGATTTTTATTCATTGGAAAAAAAGAAAAAAAAAAGAAAAAGGAATAGCGAGAGAATGCTTTCGAATTTCTTTCGATCATTGATCAAAGGAATGCGTCGGTGCGAATGCATTTCGGCGTGAAAAAATGCAGGTTCTTAATAAATAATCTTTACGAGGTCGTAAAGAGGATTTTACTCCTCGTTGAAAAGAGATCTCGGTACTTTTTTAAGGCCCCTTTTCAGTTTGAAATAATACTGGTGAATTCGCTATGAAAAAAAAAAAAAAAAAAAAAGAAAGAAAAGAAAAGAAAGAGAAAAAAATCACAAACTCGTACAGAGAATCCTTCGAATTTTTATCTCGTCAAAGGAGACTTTCGTATTTCTTCGAGCAAGGAGCAGGTCACTGAAATTTTCTTCTCGTTAAAGGAGAACTCGGTACACTCGTTTTTTCAGGCCCCGTTTTTTCGACGTGAACAGTGCTACGGTTCTACTTGTAAAAAAAAAAAAAAAAAAAGAAAGAAAGAAAGAATCAACGAAGTAGAAAGGATTCTTCGAATTTTCTTCTCGTCAAAGAAAACCTCGGTACATATTTCTCAGATTTCTATTTCGGCGCGAAACAGTGCCGGTTCTATATCGAGTTGGCTTTCATTCGTCTAAAAAAAAAAAAAAAGAAAAAAGGAAAATCCTTGCAAAGTCGCGAAGAGAACCCTTCGAATTCCTCTCGGTCACCGAAAACTTTCTACTTGTCAAAGGAGCCTTGACTTTAATCAAAGCTCCGCTGGGATCCCTCCCTTTCTGATTACCTAAAGAGGGCGAAAATTCGAGTGGGATGATCCGAGAAGCGTTGGACTCGATGCCAGTGAACGGAAGAGTAATAACCAGAAAATTTCGCGATCGCGAATGTTATCGAGCTCTCTCGTTTCTTCTGTTTTCGAGGAAAATCAACGCAGTGATTTTTCAAAGTAACGTCTGGTCGTGGTAGATCAAACAAACCGTTTCGATATTTTATAAACCGAGAAATCTAAGAAAAGATTAACTGGCGGGGAACAGAGACAGAAGACCGATCGTGGAGGAGGCGAAGACGCATTGCAGATATCGTCTCGTGTCAAAAATTCTGAGTAAAAGTGAGATCTCGCTCGTAAGCTTACGTCTTTCTTTACGGCTTCCTCGAATAAGATGGATGCTTGTAATATTCGATTCTTAGAATTACACTGCTACGCTATTGTTGAAACTTTCCAAGGATTATCGAAGTAAGGAAATTTGTTATCTCAAAGGTAAAAAATCTACAATTCTACCGTTCAATTTTTATATAAAAGATACCTTCGAACGTATTATCACGGTCTTAGCTCGAAAGGATTAAAGTTACCTAGGATTAACCAGAGCTCAAGCGGGATTAAACCAAGTTTTAGGATTAAAGTAAAAATTTAGCACGTTCGAAGAGTAAACTCTCTACAATTTTATATGAAACACAGCTAGCGATACGCGAAATACTTTATATTACTTTAAGAAAAAAAAAAAAAAAGGAATATGAGAGAAATATTTAAAAATTTGATTCGAAAAGAAGAGACGAAGCTGGATCGTATATATTGGTTATAGAGATCGGGTGGCGCCAATGAGACGATGCTTCCAGTGATGATAATTAATCCGCTCTGTACGAACACCGCAAATTAATTCGATCGCGTCACACACGACTTGATCAGTGAATTAATTTCCGTCGATGCATGAATGCGAAACCTCGTGAATCCCAACCTTTCTCTCTCTCTCTCTCTCTCTCTTTCTCTCTCCCTCCCTCTTCCTCTCCCTCTCTCGTTCTCCGATTCTATCCTGTTGTTCTCGAACGACAGTCGGTGGCGGACTTGCTGACATTAGTAACGGATCAGTAGCACAGACGGTAATGGAGCCTATTATCGAAAGTAATACAGGCCGGGAGGAGGACGGTTAACACGTAATTCCCTGTGATCCGATTATTCCGCTAATTAATAGGACTGGTCAATCGTGTTCCGGGGCGCTGATTAAATCGGTTTCGTTAATCGATGGATCGATCGGCTAGCCGCGTATTAATTGCTAATCAAGCACCAGTTTGCGGCTCCCTCCTCTCGTCGTCACTGCGCCAACGGTAAAAAATTTCGTTTCATTCCGAAATCTCCCCTTTTTTTCGACCAATCGATCGGTGGAAATTAATATTGTAATTCGTTAGAACACGTGTACGTAATTACATGATACATCTATCTTATTTTTATGGCAATCGCTTCGCGTGTAAATAGATAGTGTAGTACCGATAATTCTAGCGTTAAGTACAATGATGGCACGAAAGAGAAAAAAGTAAATCCAAATTTGTTGTAATGTTTCAGATTTTTTAATTTATCGATTGTTCCAGCTGTCGATAAAGAAATGTCATTCGAAGGAAATCGAGCGCGGTATTATTATAGAAAATTAAGATACAAATTTTATTGATTGTCAAATATTTCACGAAAGAGACGAGTTAGCGTATGATTATCAGATCCCCCGTGGCGCTATCCATTATTTCTACGAAACGATTTCGTGGAAAATTCCCTCATCCATATCCATCTCTATTTTTCCTGGACCCGTTAAACCCATAAATCGTAATTAAAAGATGGTTAATTATATATAGACCTCCCCTCCTCTCCCTCCCTCCTTTAAATCTCGATCATCAAGGAAAAAACGAAGGAGGAAACGAAGGAAAGTCGATGCTAATAGCGAACATTTCGTTAAGAGGATTACTCCATGGCCGAAATATCTCGTTATAACGTGTGTATGTACCCACATTTTCCATTTCCCTTACTCCCCCTGTGGAGCACCATTACCTCCCCCGGGGCCCGGCATACGTATGTATGCACAAGCGTCGTAATCAGTTGAGATAAGAAACAATGGCACACGGTATCAGGACCCGCGTACCGGCAGGCGCAGGAATACTTCGCTAAGAGGATTACACGGATTGTAGATGCGTTGCCGAAAGATTGTATTTAAGTATGGGGCAGGGTAGCCGAATAAGAAGATCGATACTACTACAACCCTCCTCCCAAAATACGTTTAATACCTCGAATCCCTAATAATAACCCCCCCCCCCCTCCGGTGCGATGGACCGAACCACCAGCTTTCTATTCGTGTACACGCGGGGAATAGAGGATAATAAGGAGGTGAACGGCGATGTCGCGTCTTTATTCGCGGCCCAGGCCACGATTTCAGCCTATTTAACGAGCATCCCCCCCGTAATCCACATCCACTGCAACCCGTAATCCGACGAGCATACTCTCTACATCTCTCTCTCTCTCTCTCTCTTTATCTTCCTCTCTGCTCGTACGAACCAATGGAACTCTCCCCTGTAAATACTCGTTTCAAACAGTGTGCTTGCTACTACGTCGTCGCGTATTAATTTCCCGTGGTCGCGATATTTATCGACGCCGGCCGGAGGAATTACGCACCCCTGCCCCCTCCCTTTCTCTTCGATGATTAATATTTAGCTTTTATATCCTTTGACAAATATAAACGTCGCCGGTCGCGTGTATTTTCGTTTCGGTTTCCGCACGGTGTTCGCACGAATGATTTTCGGTGTAAAAACGGCCCCCTCCCGTCTCTCTCTCTCTCTCTCTTCGTTCGATTTTCGGCTTTCGCTTTCCCTCTCCCCTCCCTCTTTTTTTTGCGCGCGTTCTATCGAGTCCTCGATTCCATCGATTACAATTCCACGCGTAATTTTAGGAGAGTTGGAGAGTTAAAGAGGGATGTTTTCGAAGGGGAAGTTGAACCCGAGTCGTTTCTGCAATCGCGGAACGGTGGATTCTTGGAGCGACGCCATCGCGAGATCCCTGATCTCTGTTTGTCCCTCTCTCTCTCTTTCTCGTTCGTTCGTTCGTTTACTCGCCTTTTAGTCGATCTTCATTAGTCCCGAAACTGTTTTCAGCGGGAGAGAAATTGAAACTCGCTCGGTTGCCAAGTACAGATGATATCGAGGCGCCTTTTCAAGTAAGCTGCAGGGCGAGGCTCTGGCCCGAGCACCAACCAAGATAATATTAGATTTATCGTCAAGAGCTCATTGAAACGCCAACAGTGGGAACTCGCGACGCGACGCATTGTGCAACGTGGGTTGCGGGCACACCGAACGGAGCCACCATTGAGAAACACAATCAGTCATCAAGCATGCGGCCCATTCAAAACACACTCGACTCGTGGAACGCTTGTGCTCGATGTTATTGGTAAATATACGAAGCTTGTTGGAACCACTCTCGAGTTAAACATCGCCACGAGTATGCCGCCTCTTCGCGGCCAACCCCCACCGCTACATTAATTGCACCGCGACGATCCTTGTTTATATATCTCTCTGCCCCAGTAACTTTGCCTCGTTTCTCAAATTTACACGCAGGACGAGACCAGTGAAAAAGATGTTTCTAGAGATTCATAAAATTGCAAAAAATTTTTAAATTACATTGTTATCCTTATTTTGTTCAGATCGAGGAGATAAAATAGACTTGTTCAATTCGTCTGCTGCGTAAAAGTAAAATCTTTTAATCCGTGCATTATCTACGATAGATTCCAACGATTCTTCCGAAATTCATTTGCCGGAAAATGCTCAACTTCCCGCGCATCAACAACATCCTTATAATCTATCCTCGTGCAACTATACCAAGTGTACAACAGATTCAAATCCCGAGGATTCTTGTTAAGAGAGACGATCGAAAGCAGGATAGACGAGAATGGCGCGTCTTCGTGTCACGTAATCACGTAGGACGAACGTGGAAAGAAAGAGAGGAAGGGGTGGAATGGAGGTGATGCACTCAAACGTGTCAATTCGCTGGCCCGACCACGCGCTCTTTCTCCCTTTTTCGCGCAAATAAAGCTAAGCTGGACAAAGGAGTGGG